GAGAGAGAGAGAGAGAGAGAGAGAGAGAGGAGTTCTTTAAAGACTTGAGTAATGGTGAGAAAAGGGAAGAAAATAAAGTAGTGGATGGGTAAAGAAAAAGAAGGGCCTTGTTAAAATAGTCTTGTGGTCGGTTATAATGTTTATTCTATGGCTAATTGCATGTCTTGAATTATATGGTTGGATTACTTTATTAAGAAAAGATGCTTGATTTACTAGTTCAATTTTAGATATCAATATTGGAAGGGTGCATTTATATACATACCACCGTATCATATGTTTTTACATATATACCTAACATTTAAATTTTACTTTTTACACTAATATCACCCAAATCTATCGCATCACATAAAAAAGACCATTTTATAACCTTAAAAAGTGAAATACACCTTGTTATGCATAGGTAAGGTGGCTTGTACTTTAAAAAATGAAGTTTGGAGGTTACATATGTAAATACATGGGAATTGAGTGGTATCCATGTAGATGCATTTCAAATCCGCTTGCCATGATTTGAATCCAATAATTCAAGATGTCTTAATCATCATGAAATTGTAATAAAAAGATAATAAAGCTAATCCATGAATGGAGCATTTTGACATGCGGTGAGAATACATCTAAATTAATCGAGAAATTATTGCATCAGGACTTGGTACATAGAGTTAAGTGCGGAGTTCAATGAAATCAAACCACATTGCGGTGACAGAAAAAAAATAATAAAATTTGTCCAATAGCACAAGGGAATATTCTTCCCGTGTTTTTCAGACGTTATTATGTGTTATTCAAGTATTTTTGTGTGTTATTCAAGTGTTACTGATGTGTTATTGTGTTATTATAACACCAGAAATCTTCTACACAATAACACCTGAATAACATACAATAACACAAAATAACACAGGAGAAATATTCCCCGTGTTATCGGGCCGATTTTTTTTTTTGTTACCTCAACGTGGTGTGATTTACTTAGCCTCCATTAGACTCCGCACGTAACTCTACGTGTGGAATCCTAATGCAATATTTTTTCATATTAACCTGAGAAAAAAAACCTCAATAAAACATTCAACAAAGAAGGGAAATTTAAGTATTTGCCACAAAAGCTTTATAAATTTACACACCTACCACTAAAAAAATTAATATTTACTTATATAACACTGTGGTATCACAATTACATCAAAACATATATATGAAAACATAAATTTTATATTATAAAATTTAATGTTAATTGATGTGAAATCAAAATTGTATTATAGAAGCAAATACCAAAATTTAGATATATGTAAATCCCTCTAAAAAGAATTGAAATTGACAATTTAAATACAAGTCTAAAATCTTCCACCTGCACAAAGACTGAAGCTGCAGTGAAATATTGAACTCTCTGTGTGTTATTTTGCATGTCCCATTCATTATTTTCTATACCAATAGAATATCAATTTTACACTTCATTAATCAACCACTACTGCTTCTACTCATTTCAACAAAAGACATATTGCTAATCTATCCTTTCAAGGTTGTATTTGACAATTCCTTCCAAGGAAGATCTGTAATGGCTGTGTGGAAGACAACTAAGGTTCTGAAAGGCCAATTCAGCTTTCTCCTTGGCAAGAGCCTGGGCTCTATCTACCCCTCCTGATTTCAGTACCATTTCAATGGCAGCCTCCAAAGAGCCTTCCTCACTGAACTCAGAATCAATAATGTCTCTGAGTTTGGGCTCCTTTTCTAAAGCAAATATTACTGGAGCAGTAAGGTTACCCTTTGCAAGGTCGCTGGCCGCCGGCTTGCCGAGCTGCTCCGACGATTGGGTGAAGTCTAGAATGTCGTCCACGACCTGGAAGGATAAGCCCAGGTTCTTGCCATATTCATACATCTGCTCACAAATGCTGCTGCTGACTCCACTGAATATGGCTGCGGATTTCGTGCTTGCCGCAACTAGAGATGCGGTTTTATAGTAGCTTTTGAGCAGGTAGTCTTCAAGAGAGATGTCACAGTCGAAGAGACTCGAGGCCTGTTTTATTTCGCCGCTGGCGAAGTCTTTGATGACCTGGGAGGAATGTTTGTTATTTTAGACAAGGTTGTGGTTTATGAAAATAGAAATTAGTGATGCTTACATACATACCAATCAATTCATATGCATGCATGCATCGAGAAAAGTATCCAACTGTCCCCTAACTAACTCTTTGCAAGGAGTCATTTTAGTCCCAATGTCTATAAAGATGTCAATTTAGTCCCCAAACTATTTTAATGAGGGTTGAATTAATCATCCTTGGAGATTATTTCAACACATACCAAAAGACTTTGAGGATTAATTTGACATTTTTATAGACTCGAGGGGATATTTTGACACTTTACTCTTTACAGGTCCAACACCTAAACTTTAAAATCACATAAAAGTACTATCATTTTAACTTTTAAAAAGTGAACCGCACATTTTCATGCATAGAGAAGGTGGTATATATTTAAAAATTGAAGCTTAGGTGTGTGACATGTAAATGTATTGAAATTAAGTAGTATGTATGTATTGGAATTAATTATTAGCCTAATAATTAAGCTAATTATTAATTCAACTATTATGAGATTCTATTTATTAGATTTTATTTGCTTTCCTTATTTCTCCGTTTCCATATTTATGTATTTCTGATTTTATTTCTTCCCTTTTAGTTATATCTTGTAAAATGTATTTATAACCCTTCTCCTATTAATGAAATATAGTGATTCTCAAAATTAACTTGGTATCAAAGATGGAAACCCTAGTTTCCCGCATCAAAATTCTGATTGTATGATATATCTCTCGCTGCTGCTGGCCGAACCACGCCTCCATCTGCCAGACCCGCGGCTTGACTAATTGACGGTATGTTCTAGTCGCCGGAACCACTTGTCGCTGGCCAGATTGTCTCCAAAGCTGCCGCTAAATTAAGAAATTTAGTGATTCTCAAAATTAACTTGGTATCAAAGATCGAAACCCTAGTTTCCCGCATTAAAATTCTGATTGTATGATATTTCTCTCCCTGCCGCTGGCTGAAACACGCCTCCAACAGCCAGACCCGCGGCTTGACTAACTGACGGTATGTCCTAGTCGCCGGAACCCCTTGTCGCTGGCCAGATTGTCTCCAAAGCTGCCGCTTGATTTGCTAGCGGTAGGTTTCGGTGGCCAGAAATGTAGTCGCCGGCTAAATCCATCTCCAGAGCAGCCACTTGACCTGCTGGTGGTAGGTTCCAGCCATTGGGAACCCTTACCGCAGACCTGATATGTCTCCAACCGACCCTATCTTTCCCGGCCACTGCTTTGAGGGTTGTTTCAGCATCAAGTTCCACCTCTGTCCAACCAACAAGATATTCCTATGTATCGACAACCCAACATCACATTTGACTCAGTTGGAACCACGACAGACTCTCCCACCACCGAAAATTCTATCGACGATGTACTTGAGTTCACTGGAGGATCAACAACGATCTCAATTCCTCCGCAGACCGGAGGACCGAAAAACCACATGATCTTCTTATTCACCACTCATAAACTGAACGGATTTAATTTTCTCCAATGTTCCCAAGCCATATCTTTGCAAAAAATTCAGCTCTCATGGAATGATTCGTGAACCTCCTAAAACTAACCTGCGTAGGAGGCGGAGAATTCTATGGTCATGTCATGGTTGATTAACTATATGGAGACTACGATTGGTTATTCGTATATGTTTCTTCCTTCTGTCAGTGCCTTATGGACTGCAGATGTAGGGAACTCTAGCCAACTCTGAGGTTTTCAAAAGGATCCAAGAGACGAAACAAGAATCAAGGACAGTGACCTAGTACTACAATGATTTAGTGGCCTTATAGATGGAATGTGATCTCTATTATGACTCACGTGAGAATATCCGACAGCTCTTTCCCTTTTCAAAAAATTATAGAAAAAGATCACATGTTCCGATTTATGGCAGGCCTTAACAAAGACCTTGATGAAGTCTCAGGCCGTATACTTGGTCGGCATCCCCTTCCATTTGTACTACATTCACAGAAATTCGACGTGAAGAGAGTTGAAAAATCATCATGCTCAGATCATTCTCTTTAGTTGAATCATCTGCCTTAGCCAATAACAATACTCAACACTCATCAAACCTTTCTCCACTCAAACCTAACCACACTCGAGATACATATTGGAAACTCCATGGGAAACCAACACACAAACCTTCAGCCAAAACTTCCACTGCCAAAGGTCTCCCTAAATCATCTAAATATACTACAGTACATCCAACTCCCACTCTGAACACTTCGGAGTTATCAAACTCTCTTAAAAGTTAGATGAAACATTTAATCAAACTACTCAGATCCACTCAGTTCACTTCTAGCCCGTCAACCTCCCACATTCGTCAAGGTATCACTCCTATGGCTTTCATTTCTTTTTCTAGTCTATGGATCACTGATTTAAGTGCCACAAATCACATGAGTAGGTGCTCTCAAGCTTTCTCAACATATTATCCATGCTCTGCAAATGATATAGTTAAAACTGCTGATGACTCTTATAACTTTATTGCGGTAAAGGATCGATTATGTTGACAACCAGTCTGACCCTGGAATCAATGTTACATGTACCTATGTTGAAGCGTAACCTGTTATCTGTTAGTAAACTAACATATGACTTGTTTGCACTGCTCATTTTTCTCTTGATATTTGTCTCTTTCAGGATCGTCGTTTGAGTGGATGATTCGAACTGCTAAACTAGTAGTTGGGCTTTACTTCTTCCAAGAGAAAAACACGGATGACATTTTTACCAGGAGTTATAGTGTTTCTCGATCCACCGAATGTCCTATTATGTTGTTGCATTATCGTTTGAGTCACCCCAGCTTTCAATATTTAAAACATTTGTATCTATTAATGTTTACTAATAAGAATTTTGTTAACTTCAAATGTGAAAATTTTCAATTGGCTAAACATCATTGTGTTCCTTACCCATCCCATGCCTACATACCTTTCACTCATTTTTCTCTTATTCACAGTAATTTATGGGGACCCTCTCACACTCTCGATTACACCAATAAACGGTGGTTTTTTACCTTAATTGATGACCACACTCTAATGACGTTGGTTTATATCATAAAAGATAAATCTGAAGATGTTGTCCCCTTAAAAAACTTTTATTACTTCATTTTGACCAAATTTAAAACTTCAATTCAAGTCTTTTGAACCGACAATGAGTAATGAATTTTTTAAATCTATTTTAGGCGAGTTCTTGATAAATAAGGGTATCCTTCATCATAGCTCATGTATGAACACTTCTCAACAAAATGAAATAGCTAAGAGAAAAAACCCGACACCTTCTCGAAGTTGTTCACTCCATTATATTTAAATCTAATGTCCCGACACGTTTTTAGAATGATGATGTGCTTATCGTCACCTACCTTATTAATAGAATCCCGAAAAAAATTCATAACTTCAAAACTCCATTAGCCATCTTGAGGTCTTTTTTCCCTACCAATAGGTTCTTCACCACTCTTGAACTAAATTTTTTTTTTGCACGACCTTTGTTCGAAACACTACCCCTAATCGTAGTAAGCTTGATCCCACATCTATAAAATGTGTCTTCCTCGGATATTCAACCACTCAAAAGAGGTTATCAATGTCTTGATCCTACTACAAATAAACTCTATATAAGTGTCAATGTCTCTTTTTTTGAAAGTGTTCCCTACTTTCTTGTCACTATCTAAAGTGACAGGGAGCTTGATTTTTTGGATACTGCTGCTTTCCCAACTCCTGCGCATATTTCTCCTACCACTTTTCAAGGAGGCCCTCATCCCTCAGGATCTGCCACCTACCAGACAATTTGAACCTCCTCCCATTCTCCGTGTCTAAACTCAGCGTGCTCATGTTCCTGCTCTGGAGCCCGCTACCTCTTTATAGGACCTGGAATCCACCTTGAGAGATCCTCAAAACTTGTATCACACAGAATGAGGAAGTACTCTGCTTGAGGTATGTAATCAGACAAGCTCTGTTTATTCCATAAAAAAATATCACTTTTCAGAGTGTATTGCCGACATACAAAGTATTTTCTACTATCCTGACGGATCACCACCTCTCATCCACTATTGAAGAAGAATTAGCTGATCTCTCCTGGAAAGTTGTAGTAATGGATGAGATGAATACCCTTCAGAGGAATCATACATAGAATGTTGTAGATCTTCCTCCAGATAAGAAAACTGTGAGGTGTCGTTGGATTTTTAGCACTAAGTTTAACACAGATGGATCCTTGGAATGCAACAAGGCACGATTAGACGCCAAAAATTACTCACAAACATACGAAGTTGATTATGATGAGATATTTGGTCCAATTGCTAAATTAAAAACCATTCAGGTCCTACTTTCTCTTGTTGTGAATTTAGATTGACCATTGCTCCAGCTGGATATCAAAAATGTTTTCTTGAATGAGGATTATACAAAGGAGGTGTACATGTGCCTCCCACTAGACATTGATTATACTTTCCCCTGGGGACAAGTGTGTCGACTGCGGAAGTCTATCTACAGACTGAAGCAGTCCCCAAGGGCCTGATTCGACAGGTTCTCAAAAGTGGCAATGGGTCATGATTTTTCTCAAACCCAATCTCATCACACCTTCTTCTTTCAGCATTCCTCTAGTGGCCAAATTGTTGTCCTTATCGTTTATGTAGATCATGTTGTGCTCACAGATGATGATCTACCATAATTGAAATCTCTGAAAGGCGTTCTTGCTGCTTCTTTTGAAATGGACTTGAGATCACTCCGACACTTCTTAGGCATAGAAATTGCTAGGTCATCTCGGGATATTTGTCTGTCTCAGCACAAATATGTACTTGATCTTTTGACTGAGAACAATCTTCTCATATGCAAATGTGGGTGTCCTTAAGGGTCCTAATGAACAATTTGTTGATGTTACCAATACAGTTCCGATGAATAAGACTCACTACGAACAACTTGTGGGAAAACTCATTTACCTCAACCATACTCGCCTTGATATTGGCCACACAGTAGGTATTGTAAATTAGTTTATGCATGATCCCTATGAGTACCATCTTCATGTTGTCCACCGAATCCTTCACTGTTTAAAAGGCACACTGACCTCAGGTTTGTGTTTCTCGCGCCATACCTCTCGTTTTATTGTTGTTTATACAGACACAGATTGAGTCGGGTCCGTCCATAACCAACGATCCATTTCAAGATATTGCTCATTCATATGGAGAAATCCCGTCACATGGAAAAACAAAAAACAATCAGTTGTAGCCCGAAGTAGTGCTGAAGCTGAGTTTCGTTTCATGTCCTTGGATATTTATGAAGTTCTATGGTTACGCATTATGCTCTGTGAATTGCGTATGGCGTTCTCTGCTTCTCTTCGGCTATTCTGTGATAATAAAGCCGCCACTAGCATTGCCTATAATCTGGTTCAGCGTGATCAAACCAAACATGTAGAGATCGATATGCACTTCATCAGGAAGAAGTTCGATTTAGGGGAGATTTGCATTCCATTTATACCATCTACTGATCAATTAGTAGACATATTTACCAAGAATATGCGTCGGTCATTGTTTGACGACTTCAAATCCAAATTGAACAATATGGACATCTATGCTTTAACTTGAGGGGGTATTAGAATTAATTATTAGCCTAATTATTAGGCTAATTATTAATTCAATTATTATGAGATTCTATTTATTAGAATTTATTTGCTTTTCTTATTTCTCTGTTTTCATATTCATGTATTTTTTATTTTATTTCTTTCATTTTATTTATATCTTATAATATGTATTTATAAACCTTTCCCTAGCACTGAAATTCAGTGATTCCATTCTCAAAGTTGACAGTATGTAAATATTCCAAGAAATTATGATTAGGAAAACATACTTGACTAATGAGTTTGATGACATCTAGGTTCTCGAGGTTGGCAAGGTACCAAGAAGAATGAGCAAACATGAAGTCACCTGCTAGAACAGCCACACGACTCCCATAGATTTGGTGAATTGTTTTCTTTCCTGCAAGTAATGATTAATTATTCAACTCTCACAGTATTGCAAGGACTAACTAATAGAGATAGGTTATTCTGAGATGCAGAGAGTTTCTCAGCAGTAAGAATTTTGGTGGATGGTACCTGTTATGAGATGGATTAAAAAAGAGCACGAATATAATAAGTGTCGTGGGGATGGTTGTGAGTTCTCTGAATTATATTAATTTTCAAGCATGATGTACTTTCGGAACATGGTCATTTTAGTCCCATGGTATTGCATTTCTACAATTTAGTCTCTTGACCCAAAAAAAATGATAAATATTGTCCATCACGCAGAAATTGTGATATAAAATTTATTTTGAAAATTAAACCCAATTTAGTTTTAAGGGATCATTTTGGATCAATTTTATTTAATTGGGGGATAACATTGAAAAAATGTGATACTCTTGAGACTTAATTGACTACATATGAATAGAAGGGACTAATTTGAGATTTAACCCTACTTGAAATGAGAATGCACAAGTTTCTAAGAATCTAGAAGGAATCATGATAGAAATTACTGTAAAATCAGTAGCTTCCAACAAATTCAACTTAAATTTAGACTTCCAAATTTTGGTAGAAGCATGGGTTTTCAAAAGCATCCCTAGTGGTAGCTACCAATGCACTTCAATGAAAAAAATGATTCTTATATAATATAATACAAGATAATTAGTATTTTGATGGAAGATACGAGTAATATAAATTCTTAACATAGTAATTTGCAAGCATCAGAGTACATTATCTAATCCTCATGATGGAAGATATGAGTAATATCAATTCTTAATATAATAATTTGCAAGCTTAGTGTACATCCTATAATCCTCATAATCTTTTATTGAGATTCTTTTCAGGTTCACCATTGAATTACTAATTATTTTAACACATTTGCTGATTTCAATTTATTTCTAAAAAGAAATATTTAGCATGCATATTTTGGTTAACTAAAGCATCAAAAGCATAATTGTGCTACAAGAAAAGGCTAAAAATATGCAGACTTGGTAAAGGAGCATACTAGATCAGTATGGTTCAGTAATTCAAATAAAGTAAAATAGAAATATTCTGTATGGGAACTCACCACTCTCATCCTTGACCTTGTGGTTTGCTTATTGCTGTAGTCTACATATCCTCCAATTATAGATGTCACTGGACATGATAATGTGGTTAAGCTAAAGACCTTTTGAAATACTCAAGCTTCCTTGGACATTGGTTTTGTTTATTGGTAGGTCCCTCGATGTGACAAATCAATATTATTGCAATTTTTTCATTCATTGACTAATATCTTTTCTAGAGTCGCCATCAAAACTTAATAAAAAAATTCCTCTAGTGGCCAAA